CCAAAGAGGGGGGGGGTCTTACCGTGCCGGCGCTGCCCAGCGAGAGGTGGCCGAGCTGCTGGGCCAGGGGGGCCACCACAGAAGGCTGGAGGGGGACGGCGTGGTCCACAGCGGGGGCCAGCACCGCGCCCTGCACGTCTCCGTCAGCCCGGGGAACGGGGGGGACGCCCGGGGCCGGGGGACACACCAGTGAGACATGGGGACCAGGGCCGCGGGGACGCACGGGGACACTTGGGGCTGCAGGGACCCCGCTCCGTGGCCGGGGGACACATGGGGCACGGGACAGCAGGGACACGGGGCGGGGAGACAGGGAGACCCAGGGCGTGGGGCAGGGTGGGGCCGTGGGGCGGGGTTATGGTCACAGTGGGTGGGGCATGTCTAAAATGGGTGTGGCCGTGGTCACAGTGGGAGGGGCATATCCAAAGTGGGCATGGTCGCTACCACGGCAGGCGGGGCATGTTCGAAGTGGGCGTGGTATTGCTGCAGTAGCTGGTGGTGGGGATGCTGTCAGGGACTGGCAGGTGTGGGTGGGGCAGTGGGCGGGGCTCCCACACCCACTCCACCCATGCTCACCGTGGGCTGCACGAGGTAGGACTGGTGCATCCAGGCGGGGCCGTGGACCTGTGGCAGCAGCCAGGTGGAAGCGGGTGGGGGCTCCCCCGAGCACCCCACCCCCTCCTCCCTCCATGAAGACCCCCCCCTCCCCCAGCCCTGTCCCCCCGTACCTGGTAGGAGGAGACAGGGGAGGGCAGGTAGGGGGCCAGGGCTGTAGGGGCAATCATCCGGCTGGGGGCCAGGCCGTAGGGCGCCGGGTAGAACCTGCGGGGCAGGGCGTCAGGGGCGGGGGGACGTGGCCGGCAGCCCCCGCCCCGCCAGGGCGTGGGGGGTCCTGGGACACCCACCCATTCTGCAGCGCTGTCGCAGGGTCATAGGCCAAGGTCACGGTGCCCTGGAGGGTGCAAAGGGGTCAGTGCTGCGCCATGGCCCCCCCAGCAGCCATGGGGTCTGACCCCCCGGCAGGACCCCTTCCCCATGCCCCCCCCC